TCTGTAACCTATTATTAGTACCGTTTGAAAGAGCTTGTCAAGCACTTTCAGGATCAGTAACCAGTTTTTCGATATCTTGTATAGTTTAGAAATAATCGAGTGAGATCACTTATCGTTTCCACCCTGTATATGTATAGGTACTTGTTTCTTATAGTTAATATAATGTATTTGTAAATGATTAATCATCTTCATCATCATTTCAGCCATAGGACGTCCACTGCTGAACATAGGCCTCTCCCAATGATTTCCTCAATGGCCGGTTGGTGGTGGCCTGCACCCAGCGCCTACCTGTGATACCTTTATGAGGTCGTCGGATGGTGCTGATGATGATGAAATTATTAATGTAGAGATTAATGTGTTGAAATTAGCTTCTTTTATTTCTCAATAATTAACTATGTTTATTCAGTCAACGCAAAATAACATACTGCTCCTACAGGCATAATATCATGTTCATACCACCTCGACTCTACCATAAAATATTTTAATACCAAGTAAAACCGTATAAATGGCGGTATTCCGAAGAGGTACGAGAACATTTTTAAAGTGCCGCTCTGTCGTGGCTTCCCATCAATATCGGTGTTTACTACCCCTGCTGTGTGTATGTAGGACTATCTTTGAGTATATCATGCACATAATAAAAAAAAAAATGTATTTATTCCCTTCGAACCATTAGACACTAAAATACGATCTCTTTTCTCTCCAATATGATAGATACTGCAGTTTGCATTGCAGATAGAATAGAGTTACATGAACAAAACACAGTGCATTTTAATTGCTAAAATAGTAGCTAAACACTTTCAATATAAACGTTTTATCGTACTACAGATCCTTAACTCGCCTGTACTTTATCGAATCTTATAGTCCACTGGAGTCACCTTAACAAAAGGCCACCTTTTGCCGAACAAAATCAGTGTTCCTTTTACGGTCCTATCCGTATACCGGTGTTACGTTCCAGCTCATAGATCAGTCTCGTAAAGTCTAGGTAGATCCAACTTATTAAAGTTTCATGGCTTCATTGTCTGGCCAGCGCAGCGCCAGTCACTCCCGCAATACCCTATTGAACGCTTTAGATTTAATACCCTCTTTGCATGCACATTATAGATTTTTCTAGAATTTTGATACCGTTATCGCGTCGACGTAAAATAGTTCCACTTTTTAGCGCCCGCTAACGATCGCACTATCCTTTGTACGGCACATAAAGGATGGAATAGAGATGTCCTGCGAGAATAAAGCATTGTCCTTAAAATATTTCCTTTGAGAAGAGCCGTCATTAATCAAGAGTTTGTTTATGGTCTCCCCAGTGATTAATCGTACTTTCTTTGTGTGAAAACTTTGAAGAGCGATGTGGTGTGATGATGACCATTGACCTTGGAATTTGATAAACTTTATTAAGTTATGTCTTCCGTTCTTACAGTTATAATAATAATAAGTAGGTATGGTCTATTTAAATGTGCAGTTAAATCACAGTTTGGTTTATTATTTTGCATTTCGTTATTAATCAGTTAGTGATACAAGTCAGTATATTCATAACAGTACAGTATGTAGTTATACATTGTGCCTCTGCCTCCGCATCTGAAAATAAAGATATTAAAAGGATATTTATTTCTGAAAAGGACATCAAATGTAATACCGTTCAAACATGATATGAATGAACCATATCGAGTGGCTGTAACACGAATGAAACAGCTGGCATGTAAAACGTTCAGAAGTGAAATGCGTTATCACAATAGTTCCCGACACAGCTGAACTAAAGATAGTAGTAACAGATTTTCATCTGTGGTGACGTGCACGGTGAATGCCACGAGGAAAACACGCGGTCGTGGCGTAGTGTACGCATGCGCCCTGCGCCAGGGCGGCCGCCCGCCCGCCCACGACCCCTGCCCTCACACCTCACATCCAATATTAAAATCCGCCATATTTCACAGGATCCAACGAATGTCATTTATGTCTCTGTTCTCTCAACAATCAAGGAATCAAAATTGAATTTGCAACACGCTCGCCCGTGCTACTACCTCCAATCCGAAACGAAAATTTAATTAAAAACGTACCTACCATACCTGATCCTGATCAGGTTTTCGATTTCAACTTATCCTTTTATGAGAATGAGGAATTGATTCGGATTGGTTATGATAAAGTTATTGTGCAGGCTCTTGTTATCAATGGTTGGCGGGCCGCCAAATGGGGGGCATTAGGGGATGGAGGGCTCCCCGCTCTCCACTTCCTCTCGAGAACGTACAAATCTAAAATCGTGCCTGATACGTAAATAGCGCCGTGTGGGTAAATCGAACACAACTGAAATTTGTACAATAGAGTGCAACAATTTTACACCGAATGGATGCACTGTGGTTGAACTGCAATATCTTTTATTTTGTTAGTTTCCACTGGCCGTTGTTGCAGCTCATCTCATGTATGGATTTTTAATCTATTGTGCTTCAATGTTTAGATTCGATGTTCTCTTAATATACCTGTATAACTGTACTTATGCAAAGTTAATAAAACGACTTTACAGCAGCATTGCGTAAACAAATCAATGCCGAAAAGAACTGTGGGCTGATGCCCAAAACAAATAGCAGTCAACCGAATACCTAGTCGCTTTAGGGAGAAAACTTGTGGTTATGCCTGTTGTTACATACATATGTCAGGATTTTTGGCTCACTTCCAACGTATACTACTCGAATCTACAGATGCACCCTACTAGGCCATTCCCCTTTGTTGTTTGCCAGACAATCTTGAATTATGTGAAACTGTTTATCTGCGTCCTATACCTATCTTATACCTTAGTCAGTAAACTCAATATTTTAACACAACAGATTATTAAAACCGCGAAAATATGCGTAGGTGGTTGTTAAAACGTCCGTACAATTTTTATGAACATTCCACTGTATTGTTGGCACCGAAAGTGTGTAATTGAAAATGCGGCATCATTTAAAAACCAAATGTTTTAAATGCGCTGATGGTTTTATTAATATTTTATGAAGCCAAATTAAATACACCATGATGAATATTAAATACAATGCCGAAAATTGATTTTCCTTGTTGTGTGATGTTTATTTAGTTGATGCGCGTACACCAACGGCTCTTTTCGTTCTGTAATGGAGCTGAAAATACAAACAGACACCATTTCTCCCCAAATTTGTGGCTGTTGAATAATTCAAAACAAAACACAATTTTTCAGCGCTATCAAAATCTTCCATCGGTCTAAATTAATTAATTTCAGTAACTCAGTAACTGATAAGCGATCTACAGGCTACTCAGGTCAATGTACTGTGGTGTTCAGTTGTGTGTGAAACTACTACCGAAACTAGATCCCTAGAATAGGATTACACCAAACTGCGGATTTATACTGGGGATTTGAGGAAATCCTCGGACAAAAAGGATACCAGCAGGATATAACAACGCTAGACGCAATGTTTGATAATGACTCTTGTTTGTGTAAGATAATACGGAGTGATGCCTAAAATAATGTGGAGGTCTATTACAAGTGAAATGCGATGATTGTAAATAGGTTAAAAAGGAAATTTCATTCACGTGACAATAATATTACTAACTTCGTTAGATTTTAAATGTAAACTTGTGTAAGCAAACTCATTATTAAAAGGTACTATTTATAGGTATGTAGGTAGTTACGAGTTAAAGGTGATTACTTACCAGTAGAAAATGTTAATTTTTTTTTTTAATATAAACGCGAAAATATAAAATGATGACGCACATTTAAAGGACAATGGGCAAAATGGTACCCGGCTCCAATAGATATGTGTCTAGTATCGTTTGAAAGGTCTTACCAAGATAAACAACTTTTACTATGGCCACCAGCCTCAGATCTGGTTGTGTTCGAAGATAAACATACTTCTTTGCAGAATGGTACCCGGCTCTAATAGTTATGTTTGTAGTGTCATTTGAAAGATCTTACCAAGACGAACAACATTTACTATGGCCACCAGCCTCAGATCTGGTTGTGTTCGAAGATAAACATACTTTTTGTGTAACCTAAGTATCATACGTGTCCACTGTCCATCGTATGGTACTTAGGTTATGCGAGGCATGAAGTGTTTACTGCTCCAGCATCCTTCCTTAACTCTATAATTATTGGTAGGGATAATTATGAAATAAATATTTTTATTTGAAGAACTGCTACCCCCTTATTAATAAAAAGTTACACCTAGGAAGAACCTTGGATTAAAATGACATTTCCATACCAAATGATAATTTAAGCCTGAGTTCAACTAGGGTGTAACTTTTATTAATAAAGGGGTTAAAGTTTTATTACTTCTTAAGGGTTCATTATGGGTTGCTAAAGCGAATAAACCCACAAGATCCAATAAGTCCACCCACAAGATGGACCGACGACCTTATAAAGGTAGCGGGAAGGCGCTGGATGCAGGCCGCCACCAACCGGCCATTGTGGAAATCATTGGGGGAGGCCTATGTTCAACTGGACGTCCTATGGCTACAATGATCATGATGATGATGATGAAAGCGAATAAAGGGCTAATAGCTTGGGTAGTTCATCGTAGGTATAATCCTTTTCTTTACAATGTTTCTTTTGGTTATATTAATAGATTGTAGTCATAGTGCATACTCGTATACATGGATGATTGTGTTATACTTTCATTTATAATATAGTGGAATTACTGCTTTCAAAACGTGAATTAGAACTGGCCCCATAGCAGACATTTTCCTACATCTAAAGGCCTTTTAAAATATATATTGGTTATAGCTATTGGAGCGGGTACCACTTTCCATACATTTGTGCCCATCATCCTTTATCATGAGATTGATGTTTATTTTTTAAATGAGAGCTCTTTTTATTTAGCGAGCTTGTTAGCAAGTTTATACGCACGTGAGTTTTAATGTAAACTTTTTATTTTTTTTATTTAGGAGAGTGGCATTCAAACCTTTATGATATGAGAATATTTTCTTGTGTATTTAGATAAACTGGTGATGGTTTCTTTCTTCCTACTAATGAATTAACCTATTTTCCTTCCATGCTAACATTCCAGTGGCCTTAAAATGTAAGTATACACTTTTACAGTTTAATTAGCTACTAAGTGCTCTACTGAAAATAAAAAGAATCCTTGAAACGACTTTGTATACTCTTAGATTTCTTTTAATTAAGTAGGTACTCGTTCAAGCAACCCACTGTCATTTTATAAGCAACATTTTGCCCCATATTTTGGGAATATCTCGACGTTTATGTGATATTTTTGAATATGTATTTCGGAATCTACATTTTAGATTGCTCCTTTGCAGTGCTCACACTACGGTCGCTAAGCAATGTTGTTTCAGTTACGAGTATATGACTGTAGGGTTCGCGACTGAATTTGTGAGCAACATTTGTGACTTGTTTCACAAGAAAACAGTTGAAAATCATTTCTATTTTACCGGAATGCTATGAGTTTTCAAATTGTCAACGACTTTACTCAGCTAAATAGGTACAACGGTTGCAGCGGTTGCAAACTTACATTGTTATGTTTAATGTTCACAGTAGCTTGTACTTTAAAGTCAATTGTTACGTGACTCACTGTCATTAATAATTAAATTGGTAAACTGCAAACGAGCAGATGTCTGAAACTTAAGAGTGGTTACATTGATGTAAGCGTTCCAGTAAATTGTTTTATCTCCACTTTCTAGCTGTGTTTGGATTTGCTCGTATCAAAATAGTTAAGGCCCAAATCAGTCTTTTAATAACTTAGATCTGATTCAATCTTCAAACTAAATAATGCTTGACTAGTGTTTTGGCCGCTCTTTAATCATGAAAAACTCATCTAAAATTAGATGTCATGAAACAGTTGTAGTTATTCCAAAAATAGAATGTCATGCAACTCTTTGGTAATTGGATAATAACAGCCCAATCCACATTACTTTGACCTTCACCATCTGACTCGAAATTAAAACTGCATCATAAAAAATTCCAGACACGGATAACCAGCGGGTGATCATCCACGTGAAGGATGTCAACGACGAGCCTCCTTACTTTATCAATCGACCGCTGCCGATGCAGACAGTGGTGCAACTCAACGCTGCTCCGAACACTCCAGTCTTCACTCTTCAAGCCCGTGACCCTGACACTGACCACAATATCCATTACTTCATCGTGCGCGACAGGACTGGAGGAAGGTTCGAGGTGGACGAGAGGTCTGGCGTCGTCAGGACGAGGGGAACAGACCCCTTCCAGTTGGATATGGAGTACGTGCTGTATGTGAAGGCCGAAGATCAGGTGAGTTGGATACAGGATTACACACACATTGGAACAAAGGAAGCTTTATTATTACAGTTTAACTTTCCCCCGGGATAAACTTGACAGACAAACTTGGGTTTTTTTTTTTTATGTTAGCCAAGGCAGGTATTTGACCGCAATCGCACCTGGTGTTAAGTGAGATGCAGTCTAGGATGGTACATATCTGCCCTGTAAGTGCCTATTCACTCTCGCCTTGAAATTGGCGGCCAAGCTGTAGATCCTGGCTACACAGGAGTTGCAGCGGTAGGAACGAGAGGTGGGAATAGTCCCGTTTATTAAGACAGTCAGCACCAGAAAATCCATCTATCACTCAATTTCATAAGTTATTAATACGAAAGATTAATGATTAACTAAGTTTTGTTATTAGAGTACCTTTACAAGTGACTGTATTGGCAAACATGTTCCTAATCCTTTACAATCGTATTCTAACCACGTTGAAATTATTAATTTTTAATGTAAACGAACTCACAGACAACTGACCCAATATCCCCATGTGACTGAGCCCTTCTTCGTGCGTTCACCCATTTTATTTCTTTTTGGCAGTTCCGAGAAAGAAACCTTGTTTTTACTAATGAGTAATTTAATATGCTGCACATGCGGTATCATAATATGAGTAAATGACTCATCATTTCAGTTGTAATCCTATGACTTTATGGTTATAACTTTATAAGATAAAAATTCGCATCTTAAAATTTTTAACTATGGCGATTGTTATCACATATAATTATCTGATATCTGCCAAATATGTGCTTATAAAAGACTTGTACGTAGTGAACCTCTTAAAAGAGGATATCATCCATGATAACTGATTTAACACTAGTTATGACATCTCCCTTTGTAAAATGTAGATTTAAAATATGTTACACAAAGGGAATTATTATGAAAAAAACTAGAAAATATAAATAAACTAGCTGACCCGGCGAACTTTGTTCCGCCTTAATGGCAATAAATAAACAGACTTTTTTTTTATTTCGAACGGGATAAAAAGTATCCTATGTCCTTCTCCTAGCTCTAAACTACCTCCCTGACAATTTTCAGCTAAATCGGTTCAGTCGTTCTTGAGTTATAAGTGGAGTAACTAACACGACTTTCTTTTATATATACAGTGTGAGTCACGTTAAAGTGTACATATGAAAATAGATGAAACTAGACCTATTTTTATCGACAAAAAAGAGGTCAAAAATTTTTTAAGATTTTTTTTTAATTTTTTATAGAATTTTTTTTCTTCCAATTACTTATTGTAAAGAAAACGTAATAACTTTTGAACTAAGCGGTATATCCTGATAAAATAAAAACAATAATAATGCTAAATAACAGGCAATACTAAAAAAATACATAAAATACACAAAAAAGGCCAATAAATAACTATAACCTGCCCAGGAGTATGAAGAATAATTGTACCAAGTTTCGTTAAAATCCGTCGAGTAGTTTTTGTTTCTATAAGGAACATACAGACAGACAGACAGACAGACAGACAGACAGACAGACAGACAGACAGACAGACAAAAATTTTACTGATTGCATTTTTGGCATCAGTATCGATCACTAATCACCCCCTGATAGTTATTTTGAAAATATATTTCATGTACAGAATTGACCTCTCTACAGATTTATTATAAGTATAGATAGATAATTATCTGATATCTGCCAAATATGTGCTTATAAAAGACTTGTACGTAGTGAACCTCTTAAAAGAGGATATCATCCATGATAACTGATTTAACACTAGTTATGACATCTCCCTTTGTAAAATGTAGATTTAAAATATGTTACACAAAGGGAATTATATGAAAAAAAAGCTAGAAAATATAAATAAAATATGTATGTAAACAATTTCAGAGTGGAAGAGTAGACGAAAGGAGGTTCCAGTCAACGCCAGAGGAACGATTGAGCATCGTCGGTGGAAAGCGCGCTCCTCAATTCTACCTACCAAGCTATGAAGCTGAAATCGCTGAAAACCAGAAAAAGGATTCTGAGTAAGTTCAAATTCTTTTATATTTAATACCGTATACATTGATGATAGAGTGATAAACGTTAACCTTTAAAGAATAGTAGAAAGTAAAACTAGATAAATAGTAAAAGACGCACGTACGTGCACGAGCATTTTGCGTAATTGCATCTCTCTATGTTCAAATAAAGGACACTAATGTCTATAAAATTACATTATTATTAAATGTTAAGTTCTATTTTGTGAAATATTCACTTTTATGGAGAGCTGTTACATTGTTTATGAAACAAACGGTCGTTTCAGTTGTATTGTGCCTCGGTCTTCAGTTTAATATCGATCAAGATAAATTGTTGGGAGAGTTGTGCTGGAAAGTATTTAGGAAGCAATTTCAATTCATAAACGCTTGTTAGCGAACCCAGATTCTTACGACTCGTAAATTGTCGGTTGGTTTCTGTGTGACACATTCAATTGGTTGGTGGCAAATAATGTTATTTTGTTAACGTAAGACTCAAAAGATGGCAAAACTTCCTACATGTTTTGAGATGCGCCTATGTATGTGAATTCTCATAGGTGTTATCGTTGTATTATGTAACTCTATGATATTTACGAAATTAATATTAAACAAACTACTATTAATCCATTGAGCGTGGTGATTTTGTCAATATTTCGAGGCTCTTCCACGAAATGGAAAGCCGATATTATACGATAATCAATCATGAAAATCATGTTGTCAATTTATCAAGTTTTTCTAACTTAAAATATAAATACTTATTTGTAAGTAATTGATAATAAATGATCACGTTGAAAAGTATTTTTAACCGACTTCATTAGTATTAAAGTCACATCACTTGGGAATAAAAAAATGTCTGATGCCTTTAGTAATTACTTTGATTGATAATAATGAATAACAGCGTTCAAACATTATTTTAAGTATTAAAAGTTCGCATCATTTGGGGATGATACATTTTTGTCTTTTGCCACTTCGCCTACGACTTAGGTACAGTACCTACTTAAATGATGTTTTTATTAATAAATCTGACAAATTATAAAAAACTTGAAAAAATCGTACTGCCTAAGGCGGGAATCGAACCCACGACATTTCGCTCGCCGGGCGACTCTTCCATCTGAGCTACTTAGATCTGACAAATATCTTATCTTCATTCTCTATCTATTCCAGNGGCAAAACTTCCTACATGTTTTGAGATGTATATGAATTCTCATAGGTGTTATCGTTGTATTATCTAACTCTATAATATTTACTAAATTAATATTAAACAAACTAATAATCCATTGAGTGTGGTGATTGTGTCAATATTTTTCGAGTCTTTTCCACGAAATGGAAAGCCGATATTATACGAATGTATTTAAAGGATAATCAATCATGAAAATCATATTGTCAATTTATCAAGTTTTTTTAACTAATAAATATAAATACTTATTTGTAAGTAATTGTTATGATTGATAATAAATGATAACGTTGAAAAGTATTTTTAGTATTAAAGCCACATCACTTGGGAATAAAAAATGTCTGATGCTTTTAGTAATTACTTTGATTGATAATAATGAATGATACCGTTCAAAGAAACATTATTTTAAGTTAAAGTTCGCATCATTTGGAGATACATTTTTGTCTGCCACTTCGCCTACGACTTAAATGCTAAATAACTTGAAAAATCGAACTGCCTAGGGCGGGAATCGAACCCACGACCTTTTGTCAATATCTCATCTTTATTCTCTATATATTCCAGCATAATCTCGGTCAAAGCGAAGTCCTTCGCCGACCGTGAAATCCGGTACACCTTGAAGGCTCAAGGACAGGGAGCTGGCACCTTCAACATCGGCCCCACCTCTGGCATTGTAAAGCTGGCCAAGGAACTCGACTTTGAAGACCTACGGCAGCCTCACGTGTACTCCTTGGTGGTGACCGCGACGGAAGACTCTGGAGGTTTCTCAACTTCGGTAGAAGTAAGTAAAGTTGCCAAGTTCTTATAGAACGTCGTTAGGCTCAAGTTCCCTGGCGAAGTTTGTTGGAAACGAAAATATGGGTTCCTTGTGACCTTTGAAGTTAAGATTTAAGTAATAATACTTTGTAAAAGTGTGTAGGAGTTTAAAAAGATGGAAGGGAACATTTATTTGGAAGAAGTATTTTTAATTGTATGGATGTTTAACAATCACAAAAAGTCGACTCGATCTACACATAGTATCGACGACCTGATAAAGGTTGCAAAAGCAGAACGCTCATATCCGCTGGAAACCAACGCGAAAGGAAATAGTTTTCGCAAAGAGAGAGATTGGTGTAGGTTTATAGACAAAAATAGGCTTTTGTCGCAAAACAATCCTTGAAGGGGGTAAAATTTTGTATTTGGAACCTACCATTTTACCATGTTACAATGTAACAAACTGAAATCTACCTACGCGGGCGTATTTGCGGGCAGAAGTTGGTGATGATAATATGATTATTAGATACTGTCCGTTTATTATTTCTTCAAGATTTGCCACATGAAATCTTTCTATGTTTTGATCTATTTCATTCTGGGTCTAAAGACTTAACTTGACCTTCACTGGTTGTGTTATTATTGGCGGTCAATCTGTACCTCGCCACACATGAGTCGCAGCGTTAGTTCCGACCTGTTTATTCAATCAATGTATTGCCAGACCACTAACCCCTATCCTGTCCACTTTCCAGCTCACCATACGAGTGACAGATGTCAACGACAACGCTCCCAAGTTCGAGCTGCCGGACTATCAGGCTCATAACGTGGATGAGGACATCCCGCTTGGCACCAGCATCCTCAAGGTCAAAGCCATGGACGCCGACTCCGGGAAGAACGCAGAGATCGAGTATTTGGTTTCAGGTGATTATTTTTAATATTTATTGCTAGTACGCTTTTTTTTTATCCACAACGAGGAAGCTCTTAGCCTGAATCTCACCTGATGGTAAGTGATGATCAGGCCGAAGGTCGAAGCGAGCTTCACTCGGAATCCTCAACCACGGAGGAACTGGCTATCTTACCTCTAACTGCCGGAACACAACAATGCTGTTAACTTTGTTGTTATGGCGACAGACTTAGGTAAGACGGTGGTAGTTAGCCAGGCGGACTTAGACTTACAAGCCCTACCACCAACCAAACCGAACAGAAAAATCTGCCCCCACTGGGAATCGAACCCGGGACCTCTGTGTCTGAAGTAGGTGGTCTTACCACTAGACCACAGAGGCGGTTGGACACTACTACTAACACTGAACATGTAATATAATATTTCAATTGTTTAGAAAAAAAAACTTAATTAAAAAAATACCAACGGAATTGAGAACCTTTTGTTGAAGTCTGTTAAAACTGAATACACTCCTTATACATCATTTTGAGTAAAACACTGTTTACACACCCATTTATAAAGTAGAAGGAAATACTCGGAATCTCGGATGGAAGCTTTTTGAAAGCTTTTTAAAAATATAATGTACCTACTGGGCCGTAAATGTGTTGATTCTAATTAAATTCAATTACGAGTATTGTATTTACGAGAATCAATAGATTTGTTTATCTTGGAAAGGTAGCGTAGCGAAGATGTTAGATTTAGATGTTTGCGTTTATTGAGGAAATACTTTACAAAGGGACTGTTAGCGCCATCTGTTAGGATTTCGTTTGATCTTAGTTGTTCTGAGCCGACACGAGATGGCTCTTATCGTGGAGCTTGCGTTTTGTACTGCAATTCGGATTATTCGGAATAGCATTTATTCCATAAATCCAAAATTATATTATGCCAGTTAATTATTGTATTCCCAAGAATTAATACAATTATTATTTTACTTTATTTTATCGACAATATCCAGATAAACATAGTTCCTAAACAGAGACAGCTAGTATAATATTTGTGCTTATAATGTTTCAGATGATCACTTCAGCGTGGATTCCAATGGCATTATAACGAATAACAAGCAGTTGGATGCTGACAACAACAACGCTTATTACGAGTTTGTGGTCACCGCCAAAGACAAGGGAGAGCCGGCCAAGACTGGAACCGCCACCGTCAGAGTTTACACCAAGAATAAGAACGACGAAGAACCGAAGTTCTCACAACAGGTATACACGCCGAATGTCGACGAAAATGCTGGCCCAAACACTCTGGTAACCACTGTCGTTGCCTCGGACAAAGATGGTGACAATGTCCGATTCGGATTCGTCGGTGGCGGCACTAGTTCCGGACAGTTCGTCATCGAAGAAATCACCGGTGTAATTCGACTTCACAACAAAGGCATATCCCTAGACCGAGACAAGTACGAACTGAACGTTACTGCGATGGACGATGGCGCTTGCTGTGTCAATGGCGACGCTACCATACACACGTCGACTGCGGTCGTCGTAGTCTTTATCACAGACGTAAACGACAACAAACCTATCTTCAAAGACTGTCCCACGTATTTCCCGAAAGTGGAAGAAGGTGCACCAAACGGCAGTCCCGTCATAAAAGTACACGCAACAGATGAAGACAAAGGCGTCAACGGTCAAGTGAAATATTCGATAGTACAGCAACCAAACCAGAAGGGGACAAAATTCACTGTTGACGAAGAAACTGGCGAAGTGTCCACTAACAAAGTATTCGACAGGGAAGGTGATGATGGAAAGTTTGTATCGGTGACCGTAAAGGCCACGGACCAGGGAGAACCCTCCCTGGAAGGTGTCTGCTCGTTCACAGTTGAAATTACTGACGTTAACGATAACCCTCCACTATTCGACCGACAAGTAAGGAAATTGTACATAGTATTCAACGCACAATAATGCATGCCCAACACAAACTAGCTGATAACTTGCATGGTTAATTTAAGTCGAACGCGTTGTTCAACGTTGTTGTGTGTCTTCCAGAAATATGTGGAGAATGTAAAACAAGACGCCAGTATTGGTACAAATATTTTAAGAGTATCGGCTTCCGACGAAGATGCCGATAATAATGGCGCCATAGTTTATACTTTGAGCGCACCTTTTAACCCCGCCGATATTGAATATTTTGAGATCCAACCTGAATCAGGTTGGATCGTACTCAAGAAGCCTTTGGACGTAAGTATACTTTATAAATCTACCTAAAATAGTTTGACACCGTGTGAGCATAATATGAGAAGTGTGACGAATGAAAGAGATCAACTTTACTAATAAAGTTTGGTGGATGAGTGCTACCTACAGACCCTAGGATTCAATTGGCACATACTTTAAGTTCATTCAAGTGTAAATAGTTCCAAATTACCGCTGCTGTAAATTGCTGTGGAGAGGGGTCAATCCTGGCTGTGAGGAGTAGTTGTCCATTGAACGCGGCGGCGCGGTGGGCGCGGGGCGGCTTGTTCTTCTTGCAGCACTATTTGTTTCATTTGCCGCCAGCGCCGGCTCCGCACTCGATCTTCGTTAAGATTTATTTCCGCAGCACCATCTTGCATAACTATTATCTTACCGATAAATACGACTTGTGTATAATACCCATGACAGTAACAAACTGCTGTAAATATTTCACACCGTTGAAGACCTATGTTTAGTTCTAAAACATGTACAGTTTCTGTAACAGCACTTCTGTATATTCCGCACAATCTAGTTTCGAAGTTTATTTTATTGTAATTAACAGATTAATTTGATGAAGCTTACGCTTTTGAATACCTATCAGTATTATATGTACGTACATGTTTTGTTACTAATCTCAGATTTTGTTTTGCCGGGGGCGGTTCGATGTCCGCCCCCTCACGTTTGTTGTTGTCTATGACGACTACTCATGTTTCATCAACTGTAAAAATACTATCATGATAATTGTGAAATTTTTTACAGGGCACCAGTATCTATTAATATTTATAATGTTAGTTAATGATTGAGATGGTCAGATTGCCCGTCGGGCAGTTTGGCCATCTGGCCAGTTGTGACATATTCCTTCTGTGAAAGGGGCAACGTTCTCAAAAGCAAAATTTGTACAGTTCGATCGTAACGTCCATCGTTTGTAATATATTTCATTTCAATGAGTGTCGTTTCGTTGTAGAAATACGAGGTCATAAAACCTTCTTGCGACAACCTGACCTTTCCGCCATGTCTTGTATGCAGAGCTGCATGCATTTGCCTGCTTTATGTTTAATTATTTTGATTTATTTAAATTAGTTTAGTTTAATTATATTGTACAAAGTAATACCTATAAATAATGTACAGTTCGTCTTTTCCTAATGTACAGACAAACTTGTAAAATATCAGAAACATTTTTTTCCAGTTTCTTTTCTTGCACCATCTAAATATTGGCTACATTAAGGAGTGTTACTGTAAGTAAGTATGGAAGGTGCCTGTGCGTGGAAGGCGGAGCGGCTGGTTTTGTCTTACAAAAATATCTATGATCTTCTTTCATTTTTATTTTAGTTTTGCTTACCGTATGTATGTGCGAAGATCGCGAGGTTGTTATTATAATTTAATGAGTACATCCTTAACAGCCAATGAAAACATAAAATGGATGTGAGAGACAGTAGTTTTTTTTAGTATTTTTTTGATTGTTTATTAGCGATGTGTTTATGTTTTAGTTGTGTTATGTTTATTTCCCCCGCTGACCTCTGACCCGTGTATGTGTAGCGGGACAGGTATCGGCTGCGCGTGCGCGCGTCGGACCGCGGCGCGCCGCCCTCCTCGGCGGACGTGGACGTTGAGTTAGACGTGGTAGACAGGAACAATAAGCCCCCCATCTGGGACATGACCACGTATGGCCCCGTTCACATCAAAGAGAATGTCACAGTGGGTACCGTAGTGACCAGTGTGAAAGCCAGGTTGGTATAAGGCGCAGCGGGCCCTCGGGCCCGCCGCACCTCCACTCCTTAACACTACTAACGACGTGGTTTTGTCTGTTTCCATCGACTTATCCCCGGTAGCGAGAAACGTACAAGTTGGAGGCTATGGCTCAAGACAAGGGTTTCCCGCCCTTGTCCAGAACCGTGGAGGTCCAGATAGACGTAGTGGATCGCGCAAACAATCCCCCCGTGTGGGATCACACGGTGTACGGCCCGATCTTCATTCGAGAGAATTTGCCCGTGGGTGCCAAAGTGGTGTCCGTGAAAGCAAGGTGCGTCTAAACTCGGCACGGGCACCGCACGCAGCCCCGTCACCTGCACGCAGTGTGAGCGTCGCGGCGTGCGCAAACTTAACAAATGTGACACTCGTTTAGCCTCTTTTTTTCTACAATATTTGTAAAAGAAGTAGTTAAAAGAGCATAATTATGTTATTATATGATACAGTTAAAAAAAAATGGTAGACAGAAGCCAGAACGAGTGACATATTTGCCAGATCCTTTTCTGATGTTCTGTCATAATCGAATCCATCAAGTAAACATTTTTAGAGAAAACATGTTACCACAGTAGCTCTAATGGTTTTCGACTCTATTTACAAGTAATTATTCACTTATATTTCAAACAAATAACCGTTATTTGTGAGAATGCTTGATGAATCCGATCATGACAAAGTTTAGAAAGGTTCAACGTTGATTGTGCGCCGCTGACGTCATCAAATTATCGTAATGTCACTGGTGACTTGTCGAGAAATGTGTTTGTCCGTAACTCAGCTGCATCGTCATGACTACACGGGTACCGTGGTTCACCAGCATAAGGGCTCACTGCTTACATGGAACGGGGTTCACAATTATTATTGACCACTATTAAAAAATATTTAACTGTTGTAAATCGCTTTACATACATTTCTATTTGCCGTTTGGAAAGCTGTGTGCTTTGCGCAAATGAATATGATCATATTGCTCCTAGTTAAATTCAAGTACCTTTTGAATAAAGCAAGATTGGTTTGACTTACGATCTTGTCCTGATCTGCGTACATTTTGTTTATCAGTTAAAATTTAACGTAGTATTTAAATAAAAAACTTGCTTTGCTGTTTTAATTTAGATAAGTTATTATGATGTTAAGTGACTTACAACAGTTAATATCCTGAAACATCTATTTTTCAATTATTTTTATAGGTAGATATTTCAGGATGAAATTACTAAAAACGTTGAAGACAATTTTATTATTTAAATAAGTGAATCAATGTCTATTGTATTGCATGTAGGCTGAGGCATCAATGCATTACCATTTAAATGAAGATTCTATGGATTTTTTTAAAGTCAAAAAGCATGTCCAAGGTCTTTATGTTTAGTATGTAGCTTTGAGTAGGAATATTATTGTTGTTTGTCAGAGATTCCTGTAGGAACAAATAGAGCTTGCATTAATTTGTAATGTGACCGTAGGTATCATTTAGTTTGGTAACAAATTATTATCTTTATATTTATGGTAACAAGAATCTTTATGAATTGTAGAATTTATTGATCAAAAAGCCAAACTTATCACGGGACCTGAAATCGTCTCTCTTACAATTTGTACCGGCGTTTTTACAAACTAAGCTTTTTTGAAGCTTATATTAATTCAAATTAAATGTAGCCCAGTAATTCATNTATCTAATTAATTATTGGGTTGAAGTTTTAGCTTTCAAAAATATTCTGTTATCGAGAAACTTTCTAAGATGAAAGGATCCCTTTTATTGTAAGGGTCGTTACGTAAAAACAATTAGAAAGCAAGTATTCTCATATTAACCGATTTATCTCGATAGGTAATTTTAGAAATGAAAAAATAAAATGACTACTTATTGTTATAAAAATCTTAAACTTACGAGTAGGTGTATTGTTAGCAATAAACAAAGTTAATTATTGAAATCCTGAAGTAGTTACATAGTTATATTGAATGAATTGAACTGGATGCTAAAGCCTCTGGCACCCAACTAGGTTAAGATTAAGAAAAACGCGATGTTTTCATTTGAAGATAACTAGTTTGATTGTGTAGTAAGTAGCAGCCTGACTGTTTGCCAGAGGTTTTAGTGTTATTGTTGAGTCCTACATAAGTTTATAAATTAGGTAGCTTAGGTAGATCATAAGCGAATTGGGTATGTATTTAATGTTGAAATTGTTGTCTTAGCTGTGGTACAATTATTTTGCTCTTTTGTTGTAATCGGAAATTAAGCATTTGATGAAAATTATAGCGCTTATTATTTTAAGTTTATGAAATCGACGCGGTCATTATTTGAAAAAGACTCGGTGTTTAGGACGTTGATTAAATCGACCTTTTCTCATAATGCATTACTTTTTGAGTAACTGAGGTTGAGAATTGGAAGATTTGATCAATGGAACGTCGATGAAATTGAACATTTAATTTATTTTCAGTACCTCATAAATTATATTCTACTTGTGATTAAAGTAATCATGTAGGTACCCATCAGGGAAACATCAAAAAGGGGGCTCAAATCGTTTTCAGTGTTATTTAGCGCTGAATTTATTTTTAGGGGAGGTACAAGAAAATTAATAATTTTAAAATTACGTAAAAGTTGCTGAATTACATCATCTTTATGTAAAAACATTATGTTTCTAATATTCCAGATTATTAAACAAAATTACCTTGCTTCCTTTTTGAATTTGGATTTTGGAAATTATATTACATTTATGTTCTAACTTCCGGTATTAACAGTCATAGTAAAAGTTGCTATATGTATATCTTCCAATTCCTAAGGACTGGCTAAGATTTCTTGTACATCTTGTGAAGCCATCTTTATTTAGGCTGGTTTTAGTGACACGCGGACTGTCAATGCGGATCGCCCCGCACAGCCAATTTGTATGAACTGCTAGGGAGCGGAGCGGTTCCTCCGGACCGCATTACTCTACTCCTGAAGTTCATACAGATTGGCCGTGCGGAGCGGGTCCGCACCGGACGGTCCGCGTGACAATAAAACCAGCCTTAAATTGCTTAGTTCATTTGATCTACGTTAAACATACCGGGTGTGCGTTATTTTATATATTATGAATGTGCATCACTGTGCCACGGGCCACGATATAGCGACTACTGCATTTTAGTTGGATAGTGCATCGATCACGTTGTGTGCTGGCCGATGTTCACGTCTCTATTGTCTATCTGTTCGTCCTAAACCACACATTTCTGACTCACATCGAAATTATGAGACGAAACCATTACTAACTCACTTTACTAATCAATATTTTATCGAATAACTGTTATCGAGTAACTAATTTTTATTCAGGTAAACGAAACTAGACACTTGGAAATTACAAAATATAAAATGTACCTAACAGAAGCCTGTAAAAAGGTTTAATAAATTTTATACTAAAAACTTTATTTACACTAATTTCTCCGAAATTGAATGAAATATGAAATAATTTGCACAAATATAAAAAATAAAATATTGCTTTATAGCACTGAGTGATTTGGGTACCAACCTAATGGATAACAAATAACTCTTAGTTTCCTGTTACTAATTAATAAAAATAAAACAAAAGGCACAGTCGGTATAAATTTAAAATTCATTTGGGATTTTCATCATTTCGTGAAAACTTCATCCACTTAATCGCTGTAGTTAACATGTGAAATTTTTGTTTGACCTTACTTAAATTGGTTACTCGATTGAGTTACACAATCCACTAATAAATTCATTCAAGTTCATGCCTTTACCATCAACTTTTTATATTTTGATTTAGAGTTGTTTAAATGTCATGTGTAAGTGGCGCTACACATATGAGTGGGTCGGCAGATTCCATTCAGCAGTAGGTATTCCTATTTAAAAAAAAAAAATAAGCTTTCAAAAAGTACCGGTCGAACGATTCGCAAACACACTAGTGTATCGAAATTTTGATGAAAGCCGAATCGAACACTCATCTGCATATCGAGTTAATACCGATTAATGTCGACCTGCTCATGTGTGAAGCGCCCATAGTAGATGTTTCAGTAATAGTTGTCCTTTTTCATATTGGAGTAAAAATCGATTTTATAACGGTTCTTCTGTTTCCAGCTCGGGAATAGAAAACAATCCGACGGTGTTCTACCGCTTGATGCCAGGATCGACAGCACAGACCAATAAGTTCCATACATTCTATTTGCAACAACGAGCCGACAATGGGAATACTTGGGCGGACATAAAAGTAAATCATCCGTTGGACTACGAAAGCATCAAGGAATACAATTTGACCATTCGTGTAGAGGTGAGTTTGTTTGGTTAGTACGCAAATGGACATTGTATAATATTACCTATGTTTCAGCCAGTGTTATGAAAGATTCAGTAAAATTATTGATGTAAGTATAAGTACCTATATCTATGTACACATAAATTCCCATTTTGTTTATGTGGAAGAAAAAACTTAGTTTGAGAAGCGTATTTCTGCTGAAGGCATCACGGAAAAATTAAGAAAATTGCTTTTATCTTCTCGAGTCGTAAAAAATAGGGGACGTAAGTATAAATCATCATCATCAGCTAGTAGGTAATAAAATGTTCATTACCAGATAACAATGTAAAGGAAAGTATTTCTGATTGGGTATATCACAAAATTTTACGCTCTGTTTGTATTTGGGGGTGTTTTTCCTTTCAAAGTTGTTGGGGGAAATGTAGAATACTACCACGAAGTATAATTATATAGCTTTCATAAGTAGAAAGTTAAAAGTGGGTAAGTATGCCTACATTTTCCAAGGAATAGTAGGTAAATAAATGATATGTATAAAGGATGCCAAGGGCTTAATTAGTTTGGTGTAGTATATCGTACAATACGAGTATGTAGGTGTTCATAAAGTAGAAAGTAATTATCTTTGTGGTTTCCGTTCAAGCTACGATAAACACTGCCGCTGTAATTAAATATGACTTAACAAATATATTTTCTTGATTGGTAAAACAGAACTGTAAATTAATAAAAGGTTTTGACGACTGTTTCAAGGCTTTATCTTTTCCATACGGGTATTAATGTATCCCATTCACAGTGGACACGTGATTTTAAATTGTAAGAAATCATATCTAAGACAGAAAAAAATGGTTTGTTTATTTATCTACGTAGTTAACAGAGATTGATGCCATTTCTAAAAAGTAGAGAAATAAATATGTTTAAATGCTTTACTTAATTAGAGCAAAACTTTGTAGTCCTTTGAGAGCTGCTTAATTAATTGTTTTCTTTGATTTGCGAGAATAGTAGTCGGACAAAGTTAAACACAATTTAATTGCGGCTGAGGGCTGCCGTGGAACATTTATGTTTATGTTTAGTTAATTGTTGAGCGAAGGCAATAAGGATAAGACAATTAAGTTTTTTTTTTCATGTTTTCTACTTCTATTTGTGTTGTTAAGTCACAACCCAATAAAAATCGCCGATACTTAAGTAAGCATTATAAAATTCGAAACTTCGGCGTGCACTTAATCCATCGCGACAGTGCAACATTATCATAAAGCGAAGTGTTTTAGACTTGCTTGCCTAAATAAATTAATCAAGAAATCATTTAAATACCGATGAACCGTTGTAATACTCGTCAGTAAATATTTTCGTTTGTTTTGATTTATTACGGTCAATTTATTTGGAGTTGTTTGTTTTAGGTACCTACAGTAAAAATATTCAAAATGAAATTAATTGCATATTCAAACTTTTCAATTCAATGAAGGCTAGCTGGCTATGAGGTTATTGAAATTTTTAATTAAGGGCTGATTTTTCAATCGTCGGATAACTTTTAACTGAAGAATAGGTTTGGCACATTGACAGTTTCAGTATGGAAAATATGTCAAAATGACAAGTTTATTCGTCAGTTAAAAGTTAACTGATGATTGAAAAATCGGCCCTTAGTATTGTAAAATCCAGTTTTATTGACGAATAAATAACAATGCGTTAGCATTTTGTGTTTGTATTTATTTCGGAGAAAAAAAAACATATCAAATATATTTTGTGAACACTTTGTGAACACTTTTAACCGCCTCTGTGGTCTAGTGGTTAGACCACCTGCTTCAGACGCAGAGGTCCCGGGTTCGAATCCCAGTGGGGGCAGATTTTTCTGTTCGGTTTGGTTGGTGGTAGGGCTTGTTCTAAGTCCGCCTGGCTAGCTACCACCATCTTACCTAAGTCTGTCACCATAACAACAATGTTAACAGCATTGTTGTGTTCCGGCAGTTAGAGGTAAGATAGCCAGTTCCTCCGTGGTTGAGGATTCCGGGTGAAGCTCGCTTCCACCTTCGGCCTGATCGTCACTTACCATCAGGTGAGATACAGGCCAAGAGCTTCCTCGTTGTGGATAAAAAAAAAAAAAAAATTTTTGTCTTTTACGGACACGTGAATAAGTTACATTATGCATAACGTTATTTTCAGTAAAATGGGCGACATGTAAATAACCATCATGGACGTGCACGTGTAGTTTGATTTTATTTGTGGATGAAAATATCTTTTTTTTTTCAGATTACATCATCTTTGTTTATTTATTTTTTCATCAAACGGCCAGTGCCTTTTTCTCATCTTAACTTTTTTCCTCAGAACAACGGCGCCCAACAACTGGCTTCAGAAGCAACGGTGTACATCCAGTTGGAAGATGTGAATGATGAGATCCCACTCTTCACGGAGCGAGAGCAAGAGACAGTGCTGGAAGGCGAGCCCATAGGGACCAAGGTCACGCAGGTCAACGCCATCGACAAGGATGGAACGTTCCCGAATAACCAGGTCAGTGAGATAGAATTCATCTTTTTATTTCGAACTTTGACAGCGTTCGGCCTTGGTACAAGTTTGAAGTTCTATGAAATACCTTCAGTTGACGTGTCGCTAAAAACGTAAGCTATTTTATAGTATTACGAGAATATGGAAACCAGAAATTAAGATGCGACATGTCGTCTGCAGCTGCTATGTCGAGTCGGCTACGAAATCTTACCTTAAGTGATATTTTGATATTTAAGGCGATCTATTCACTCATCTTAGATTCTCCTACTATAACGATTATGGTTGTGATACTTACTTAAAGCTTCAGCCAAACCAACGCGTGCAGGTCACGTCAGCGATGGCGATCACTGCGCGTGCATAGGCCAATGACAGGACGCGCGAACTGCCATCGCGATCTGCATGCGTTCGTTTGGCTGAAGCTTAAATTGCAGGAGAGCTTGAAGACAGATGTTGCAAAAAAAGTTCCATTCTCTTAAGAAAATACCTATTAAAACAGTGAAATATCCAATGCAACTTTGAAAATGTTTGTCAATGACAGAGCATCACACATAATAGCTATTGTGATAACTATCTAAGGCCTAAAACAGTACTACCTACTTGTATATTGATCGCAGTCTGTCGCGAATGCTTTTGTTCGCATAGATTAAACTCTCACCGCTGACAGCTGCTTTTACTGCTGTTGAGATCCGGATTAACTGTAAGCAGTTGCCTAATGGATACACGGCCTATAGTATCTCATAGAGAGGCGTAATTTAAAACATAATACAGGGTGGAAACGATAAGTGATCTCACACTCGATTATTTCTAAACTATACAAGATATGGAAAAACTGGTTACTGATCCTGAAAGTGCTTCACGAGCTCTTTTAAACGGTATCAATAATAGGTTACCAGTTATTAGTACCTGGTACAGGTACCAGTATTTCGATATCTTGTATAGTTCAAAAATAATCGAGTCAGTGAGATCACTTTATCGTTTCCACCCTGTATAACATATCATACATACGCATGGTATATAGGTACTTTATTAGACCTATCAACTACTATATGACTATGTAATTAAATAAGAATGTGGTATACCAGTTGACGTCTTCAAAATATACATTATATTATTTACTACATGGAAGTTAAGCGGCACTTGAAATGAAAATATTTTGTTTTTATGGCGTACAAAGACACGGTGGTAAACGATTAATTACAAAGAGCGGTCGATCCTTGTTGACAAACACTGTATTCATTATAATAACTCAAGATTTATGGGTTCCTATAAAAATAATAGTTGCAAGCAGTATCATAGTTATTATGTTTGGAAATGTTACTTTCGATAGTAACTACTCGTAAAGATTTCCCACTGAAATATTGACAATAAAAAATAGAGGTTGTAAATATTATGTACATCTAGCGCCCTACCGGTAATATGAGAAGATGGGAGATCTATAAAAGTTTGACAGCTTATGTATTATGCATGAATAGTGTGAGGGTAATAGGGTGAACCCTGGAAGCTTAAGCATATTTTAAAAACTAGAAATCTTCGGCTTCGGTAATTCAAAATATACAGTCAAAAGAATTTTAGGAGTTCGGTTTTGAGAGATCATAATTTGTGAATTAGGTAGGTAATGAGGGGCATACATACATGTCTAACATTATCAATAGCATATCTAATACATAGCCCAGCTTTACCCACTTTACAGTGTCGGATTCTTATTCTGCAATGAACAATGATAAAACTTTGTTTCTCTTAAATATTTAACACATCGAGTCTAACGACTTTTTTACTGACTCTACACTAGGTATTCTTTGTCTTCGAGAATAAAAAACCATCTCCAAAGTGTTATTTCCTTATCTTATCTTTACATTTCCTTACTTACCGTAGCATCTAAACTTAACGTTAACCGTAGCGATGCATTCACAAGCCAACGTGGAACTTGCTAGCTTAAATTAGCACACGAAAACGTTGAAATGTTCGCACAGTGTATATTTTGTGCAAATATGCTACCATTGCGATTTTACATTGTCTATAATTTACGTGCCAGTGGAAACAAAAATGCAATTCTCGCCAGTTGTGATTGCGCTTTGGATTGCTTTCGATTGTGAATTATTAAATAGATTGCCTTCGTTTAGCATGCCTATGCAGACAGTTTATTTCATTGCCATTCACGAATATTTTTTGGCCGGATTTTTGTGCAGGTTGATCTATGTGTTAGTTTTAAAACGTGTTTACTATTTGAAGTATATGAGAGAAAGGAAACATGTCTAGTATGTTCCCGGCTTTTACTACATTATTTAATAGTGATAAGTACCTACTTAAGGCAGTTAAAAAAATATTCATTTTTTAAACAAGTGAACACAAATCCTGACTTATTGACTTATTAAAGGAAATTCGATATACCTACCTATATCGGGCAATATTTTTTAATTTCCCAATAGTATAATACAATAATTATCCGTATTAGTGGCTTTGCTACAGTTTTAAGTGGCCTGATAGTGAATGAATGAATTAAACTGAATGTGGGTGTGTGTTTATTGTCAGACTAATCGCTCTACCCTCCGTCTTAAGTCTTTAACTACGTTTCTCACTGGTACCACTGTTCTCCAACTCACTACTAGAACTTGTTCTCGATACACACGGAATACACGCCGATCTTGTAGCATACAACAATACTTCTTTTCAGAAACTAGACTAGACTAGAATTATGCATAAAAAACTACGTATAATATAGTGTGTACATGGCATAATGCTAGTACTACAATACCCATTGATTTTCATAATGGCATCGATGCGATAAGAAAATTGTAAGTATACAAACGAAACTTGAAAGGTTTATCGTGATATTTTTTTCAAAAAAATTGCCTATAGGTATTTACATAAGAAAATATTTGTAAGCATAAGTAGTCATCTTATCCTTTTTATGATCAAACTAGCTTTCCGCCCGCGGCTTCGCCCGCGTGGAATTTTGTCTGTCACAGAAAAACTTTATCGCGCGCGTCCCTGTTTCAAAAACCGGGATAAAAACTATCCTATGTTCTTTCCCGGGACTCAAACTATCTCTATGCCAAATTTCATCAAAATCGGTTGCGAGGTTTAACCCTTAACTGGTATCGTGGGGGCCGCGCGGCCCCCACGCATGACGTTTTCTTTGATTTCTAAGAAGCTATGCATCGTGGGCAGCCAAAATTTTTGGTATTCTCATTTCGGCGCTACTCGCGTCTGGTGCAGGTGTTTCAGCACTGCATCATTCACCAGGACGAAGATATGCACGTGTTGGGGTCCGCGCGGCCCCCACAATACCAGTTACGTTAGTTTTTTTTTCATGGCAGTTTTTATTTGTTTTTTGTTTTTTTGCAGTATTGGTGGCTTATAAGTGATAAAACAATAGATGATACCTAGAACGAAGTTTTTGATTCCAAATTAGTAATTAGTAGCATGTCAGAAGAAGGATAAAGTGATAATAAAATTATAAGTCATTGTGAAGACCCAATAACCAATATTCGGTCGATAATGAGGATATTGATTCTGATTTTCAAGTTTTTTCTTCAGAGAATGAAAATGAAGATGTTGTAGGACCTAGTCAACCCAGCTACTATGAAAAAATAAATACAAGTGGTCTGATAATCCACCAGCACCTGCTAATGTTTGTCAACATAATATTTATGTTTTTATTTTTATAAAATGCTTATTATTTTTATTAAATATTACATTAAAACTTTATTTATTATTAAGTTCACATTATTATGGATTAATTAAAATAATAATATTTTTGGTTATAACTTTCTAAACGGTAGGTTTCATAGATATTTGTAACGTTATAAAAATATTACGTAAAAAGTTGTTGTTAGTGTGTAATGTCTTGAAGTATATAAGTAAGAAGTTTTAATACAATAAAAACTAAATGATTACATAGAACAAACCTGATATATATCATTTATGAGCATTTATTCAAGTATGTAGGTAAAACATGCTTGCTAGAAGCAAACATAGCATGGGGGCCGCGCGGCCCCCACGATACCAGTTACGTATGTCCAATTTACGATACCAGTTAAGGGTTAAGCGGGAAAGCGTAACAGACAGACAGACAGACAGAGTTACTTTCGCATTTATAATATTAGTTGGGATACACGAATAATCATCTCTACCTTGTGAACCTAAGATAGCATTCAGATTTTCGCTACCTCCTCGGAATCGCTAATTGGTTCGGTGGTATTGTTCCAAAGTTTTCGTTTAAGTTTGCAAGACGTACCGCAGGTAACACACGAAGATCGTACTTACTCAAACATGTACTTCAACGGGCAGAGCTCGCCACTCGAAGTGGCTGGTGCAGAGCAACTGTTATACGCCTTAACTTGCCCCACTTGCATGTTTGAATTGCTAACTATGAGAGCTTTCTTAGGTATTGGCGAACGCGCTAAGATAACTTGCAACTATAGTGCATTGAGATCTCGCTGAACAAACGTTTCTTGGTAACTGAGACTGACTTACTTGTGACCACGGCTGTAGCAACGCAGCCGAATCTTCAAGAGGTGCTTATACTCACTTCATAAAAAATATCGCATTGAGCTGAGACCCGTAATTATTTAAGGCTGTAAGCAGGTACTCCTTTCATAAAAATATAGCATTGAGAGATTGAGACCCGTTATTCTCTATTTGAATCATATGGAACGTGAAAGTTTAAAATCTTATACTACGAGTTGTGTCTTTGCAATGATAATTATTTAAGACCAAATAAATCTTTTGATGTACTGAAATCTTCAAACATCGAGATTAAATGTGTGGGTAGAACCATTGCGAGATCGAACCTACAACATGAAAAAGGGCTGTTTCTAACCCTTTTGAACTTAGTTCTTAGGAAAGTTGATAAAGTTCGTCCGAGAGGCGATTGTTGGCCTCAGGATTATTGACATAGATTCTGTATTGACTGACATGATTAGTAAAATATAGGGTGAAACTTTTGAAATTTTCTTAAAGTTGTCTCTACAAGTTTTTCATTCTAATGAAATATCTCAAAGTTTTGATAGTGGAACTGAACAGTTTTGATAATTCATAGCCATCGTAAAAGTTTGCTATCGTTCTATAAGTTTTCATGATGCCAGAATGCGAAGACGCGGATACTCGTGGGTCCTCAATTTTAGTGCCTTTAAAACTTGAATGTTCTTAGTGAGTTTATCCAGATTTGAGTAAAAGCATAGTTTGCTTTATTACCCATTAAACATTTATTATAATATTTTATTTAATATCTTTACTATCTGCAAATAAGATAATAAACAAAATATTCAGCTAAATAATTCTAAGTATACGAGTTTGTTCATTCTCAAGAGGTTTAAAAACAATCAGATTATAAAATTCTCCTTCTCGATCTGCAGTTAATATTTACTTTACATTGGCAAAAGGCAAGAACAGGATTTCACATACCTAGGTAGGTAAGTGTGACCAAGTTCAGCGTATCTAAGTTTCAGTTTCTAAGTTATCTCGCAAAGGCCGGTCCATTCACTTTGCTATAGACTGTCTTCACACAGGCTCCATGTAAGAGATAATAATTATCACTAGCTTTTGCCCGCGACTTCATCTAAAGTTACTATGTGCTGGTCTGATATTACCTGAAAGGTTTTATCAAAATCCGTCCTGAAGTTTTTGCCTGAAGAAGTAACAAGCCTATCTTCACAAACTTTACAGTTTTAATTCTGTCAAATATTTTTCATGAAATAATAACTGAAAAGTTGCAAAAACAGTTGAAACGTTCAACTTGAAGGTAAACTGACGTAAACAGTTATTTACCAGTTAAAATCCTTTACCAGTACTTTGCCAGTAGGTACTCACTGACTGCATGGGAGATATTGACAGAAAATCGACAGTTTATATCCAACTGTGTTGATTAAACTTCGATTTCGAGGATTGAATGTAATCCTATACAATTGAAAACTAACTTAAATTTAAACCTTCATTCTATCAATCGAACTTATTTTAACTTGCTGAAAAAACCTGTGTTTGTATCTGGTTGTTTTCTTTTCCCGTATCCCGGATTTTCTTCGCTTAGAGCGATAGAATAGACGGCATATACAGGGTGGAATTTTGAAATGCCACCTGAAGGGAAAGTACCTACTCTTAAGCTGTAGATGTAGAAGAAAAGTTTACTCAAAGAAAACATTCTTTTATTTTTGAAAAGAAAGAAAACTGCATTAAAAGATTTTCGAAAATGCGCTTGCTACACCCAAGAATCGAACCGACTAATATCTGTTAAAAAATAATTATTGCATCGATAGTTGGGGATGAAATCTCTATAGCAAACTTGATAAATCGAATGAAAGAAAAATCTTGAAATCTTAAATTATTTTATTTATTTACAAAAATGGTATGGCAATAACTTTTCGAAAATTTTCGTTAAATATTCAGTTCTCTTTCTTTTCCAAAATAAAGGAATGTTTCCTTTGAGTAAAACTTTCTATCTACAGTATTAAGAGTTTCCCTCCAGGTGGCATTACAAAATTCCACCCTGTATACACAGTTATACTCGTATCTACGTACATTCACTCGTGTTCAAAACAGCCCCGCTGGAATGGACTTGAACTAGTTCCGAGGACGAAGTTACATTTCGATTTACCGAAAAATAAAAACTTTCTTGAAACCCCGTCGACTGTTTATTGACAACCGTTGAAGTTCTTGTTTTGAAATTATGTAAAAAGAGAACTTATTTTTACAAACATAACAACTTGATTGTGTTTTATATTTTATTTACTTTGAGTGTATTCTTACACTCTTTCATACCGCATGGTCACATATTACCTAACAGGGCCTGGATTCCTTTCTTAGTTGGAACATAAGTGAAAAAAAAAAAGAAACACAAGGAGTTCTATTAGTTTTAGTTTAAANTTTGGCACGGTTTTATATTATCTCTCTCTAGACTAGTTATGATTCTGATCTGATCAAAGACACTGATGAGAATTTTAACAAAGAATTGATATAATTATAAATTAAACACTGGCTGTATGCGAAAACCGTACGAAGACGTACGAGTAATTAAAAAAAATGCAACTTTCAATTCCATTTACAAAACTGTTTTCTTTTTAAATAAAATTCTTACATGCCTAACCAAAAAGTTTCTTCACCAGGTGTACTACTACATCGTGGACTCACCTCGCAACGAGGGCAAGGACTTCTTCGAGATCAGCATGCAGACCGGGGAGATCTTCACCAAGGTGGTGTTCGACAGGGAGAAGCAGGGCGCCTACGCGTTGGAGGTGGAGGCGAGGGACGGCGCTCCGTCGGCGCGGCCGAATTCCGACAACCAGCCCAATTCAGGTAGGTGACAAGAATNAATAAAATTTTTGAGTCTTTATTTGTTTAAACGGGATTATTCCCACCTCTCGTTTCTACCGCTACAACTCCCGTGTAGCCAGGATCTACAGCTTGACCGCCAATAAAAAAATGTTTAGTGATACAGTGACGTGATTTAACATCACTAGCCTACGCGTTGAAAGGTGGTGACGAGAGCACTGCGTCGGCACGGACCAATTCCGACAACGTTACCGTGATGATTTTGGAATTTTCATTTGTTTAGTGACACAGTGACGTCATTCAGTGATACATAAGCCTAAGCATTTTAGGCGGAGGCGTGAGACAGCACTTCGTCGACCCGGACCAATTCCGACACAACTACCGTGATGATTTTGGAGTTTTCATTTGTTTTGTGCATACGATACAGTGACGTCATAATCATCAGATTATTTAGCCTCCACTACAGCTGCACTAATGTCTAATTAATCAGAGGCAAATAGACTATTTGGCCTATACTCTACTTATGGAATACCAGATGGAAATCGCACAAAATAGTGACGATGACTACGATTATGGGTAGTGACAAACATAATCCTCTGGAATTCACCAAAGGCAGATTTACCCACGCTGAGACAGAACAGACGAACAGCGTAAAACATGTTGGCTCTTTGTAAACAATGTAATTAGGAAGAACAAGTGTTGTTACATATGTTTTATGATTTTTTTTCGTTAAATGAAGCCATAATTTTGCTTTTGTGCTCATGACAGATTACGTATGTAGGTAGGCGTATCAAGAACTTATAACTCCAAATAAGTAATTTTATTCATGACAAAATACCTACTAATGTATTTCGAGCACGATTCCATACAGTTCCACATCACAATATGTCTTTATGTACCGTCGCAAAGTTCCCGTTACCTAGCTTATCATTCAACTTTCCTCCATTTAGCCCAATTAGGTAGGTAGGTAGGTAGGTAAAATAACCTTTTGTGAACGAACTTGTCATTCGCTTTGTGTTATAAGTAATGGAACAAACCTGTGCCATTAGGGGCTACTAAATACGAAATTGTTATTCCTTTCAACATAATCACCACGATTATAGAAGTAGATTTTCTTACCCAGCGCTAAGAAATTTTTGTCCGCTGAGTTTTGCACAAAAAATAACTTGTTTCTTAGATGTTTTTCTTGAATTAGTTATGTAGAGTAAAATTATGTACCTACTACTATTGAAAACTTCTAGGAATTAATCGATTTCATAATATGTTCATACGAATTCCTATAAGCAGGAAACACTCCTAAAGGATTATTCAAAAAACAAAAAAGAAGACAATTACCAAACCAACGAATTAATCTCGGAAAATTACGAAGCGGATACAAATAAAATAACTCCAATAATAAAAGATCTGCAATATTTTTCGTAGTTTCCCCCATTATTTCTGCCGCTGACAGCTTCAGAAAAATGTGACTGGTTCATGAATATGAAATCATGTTTATTTGATAAAATACAATTACGTAATCGTTTTAAACCTTTTTGAATGTACCGTTCTATTATAATCTTCTAACCGATTCTCATGTTGATTGTGTACGTACAATAAATTGTACCTTTACGACCTTCCTGGTAAAGGATTCTAATGTTTTTAACCCAAATTAAAGGTTAAGGCAACATTAAATTGCCATAGACGTTATTTGTACCGTAATTTGTATTACAGATTACCAAAGATTCAAAGGCAATGTCCCTCCCCGTTCCATAAAGGATAAACGCTAAAGCCTTTACGAGTATACGTTTGATGTAGCGCAACTAAGCGGCACTGGTTCATATGTATTATGTTAGCAATGGAGCATTAACTTATTAGCAATTCCCTGGATATAGGATTGCCGGGACTCTCTTCTAGCAGATTAAATAGTAAGCTGTGTCAACTTTTACTTTATGACTGAAGTTAAATCGATATTTGCCGCCCACAACGAACGGGACACTTCTATTTGTGTAGCGAAGTCCACATTAATGTGGTGGATATTAATTTAACTTAGGACACAGCTGTTTTACTTTCACTGTATTATTAATTTTATCCGAAGTGCAGAGATAAAAGTTGGGTGAAGTTATTAAGGCGTTCCATTCACGTCCGCAGATGTAGGTACGGCGGGTCAAGGTGCCTCTTCTCCAGTTTTCGGGCTAATCACTAGTACGACCCGCATTTAAATTACTTTTTCTGTCCTGTCGAAACGCCCGCTGCGAGGGCGGACTCGGAAAACGTCGGACACCAGTCTGGGCGGTGCTGACCCTCTTTGATGTAGATATTGACACATAGCGGTCTCATATTTCACACTGTTTTCTCGGGTGTCCGGAATTGATTGTATCGGTATGTGTGACACTATAAATTGTCCGTTTCGGGCTCGCTCCTCTATTAGGTAAGCAGGTCGGCGACGCCTTACCGTATCGCGTCATCGTAAATCAAGCTGCGGAATAATCAGCCACCGCCTCCGGCCGTAATCCGGTTAAGCCACTCATCCCTATATCTATCTCACGTGCACAATAGCGGCTCTAGATCACCACTGTGTTTAGCACACCCCTTTATCACAATGTATCATAATTACAATTGAACTCTGATATAATTCATACGACGTAACAAAACGTCGAATTGAGTACCCGAACCGTAAATTCATATTATCGCTACTTTGCTTACGTGCCGGAAATACAAACACAATTTTGGGATGCTGTATTTACTTCAGGTAACTATTGAATCAACCGGAACCGATGATTAATTGGTGTATTAAAGTGTTACATGGTTATTGTGGGGTTGTTTGTCGTTGATGAGCTTTAATGAATTGCTTTTGTTGTGGATTTTGTAGGAATGTGTGGGCCACGTAGCAATTTCAGCATATTGCAGGCGGTCGTGGTGGCGGAGGCGCGCGGCGCATACTGATCAGCGGCGCATCTTGCCAGTGCCTCAGCCCGCAGCGCCATTTCGCTATATTGGTGCCAATTATGTCACAGAATGGCCCGTAATCCGACCACAGCCGTACAGCCTGTAGCTGTTGTAGATTTTAAAATAAAACACTCATTTCGTGGTTACAACCTTCATCGGGATTTTCTACACTGAACGCGAGTAACATTTTAACGTTTATTTGTCATGCTTTACGTTGCATTTAATACCTGCGCTACATGTTTGCTAGAATATGCGTTTCCAGTTCAACTATTGTAAAATTGACCGGCGAAAGTAATATAAAATGTAATATGTATGCGAATAAAGTTTAATAAGGATTGTGAATTCAGCAACTTAATTGCAACCGTTTACATGGCTCTATTCATAAATGTGATGTCTCTTTAATCTGCGACATAATTATGATGTTCATTATGAGAACAATGAACATAATAATGAACATAATGTTTTATCGTCAAACTGAGTGGCTTGGGATTTGTATGCGTGTTCTGAAAAGCTCGTTTGAAATATTAAAGAATTAAGTAATTCGTGTTGTGTATTTATGTATGTTAATATTTGCCTTGTTCGGTTAAATGCGTATTGGATTAGTTAGGCAGTGTACACGAGGGCCGGTATCAATCAACACAGCCGCCGATGCGATCTCTAACTCATTGACATGCCACGGCTGATAATCGCCTTATGGCATTATTATTACCATTTACACCGGACGATTCCATCATGCATTATTGTAATTGAATGCGTATTGAATATCTGTTGGTCTGATAAGATAGTTCAATTCAATTAACCATCAAGTTCTAAATATCAGGGATCACAATCAGGAATCTGAATTTTCGTACATACCTATTTATGACAATACACATTTCATGAGTTTAAATAAATATTTTTAGAGTATATCCCAATTCTAACAGGCAAGATTACACGTGCGAATTCGAATAACCCTACCCTTATTTCCAGTGAATTTTGTTTGAACCCCCAAACGAGGTAATCCAATGAGTATTATTTAATCGATTGACTTGAATCAATGAATCGAAAATTGGAACGAATTTGCCAAACTAAGTTCATGCTTCAATGTTCTAGTTTCGTTTATTACTACACATAAATTGTGTTCGGTAAGTTGTAGGTGCGGTGTGGGAACATGCATCGTTTGACTTCAATTTGTGTGACTATATACATACATATGTATGTATAGGTACGGTCGTAGTTTGCAACTGCCAATTTCATACAAATCTGAGCCCGAATGCCACAGTATCAAGACCAGTGCGCCCGTTTTCTTTGGGATTTCATACACGATTGAACGCGTGTAGATGACGTATCGTTTTCTTAGTATTGTTTGCGTTTTTAATTTTCTTATTTTGAACTGTTCTTGAAATGATTTATTATTTGAGACCATTTAGGTATTTGAAATCAAAGCTCCAATTGAAATAAGTATTTCAATGCTTCCGATCTTTTCACGTAATAAACCGGTTTTACATTTACCATATTCCACAATCACGTTATTACCAATCAATGTAATGATTTACTCAGCTTAATGTAATGTGAAGTAGGTCCTCCATTATAATGCGTGGACATGACAGGCAGTCGATATTTTCAATTTCGTCGTTTTTTCGACAGAACATTCCCGTAATGCTATTATGTATACCGGATATTCGAAGAAAACGTGTACGTCAATCTGCCTTCGACATGAAGGGAGGACCGTGATTTAAAAGGTGAAACATTCTCTTCAAATTACACACCGCCGTTTTTATCATCGACGAATGCTCTCATGAATTATTCAAGAAATTATATAACATGGCTTGTGGCGTCAAGCGAAAAACAATGAATCCAATAATAATGAAGGCGCGAGTCGTCGACCGCCGCTGCGGGGCGCTACGACGCTACGGCGCTACGGGAGGCGCTACGAAATTCTTTTATTCCGAAGTTCCGTCTCGCGCTTTGCGGTTACCCCACTCGCCACGCGTCCCCCGGTGGCACTTATCGTTTATTACGACTTTTTTAATTTGACTGCTCTGGTTTCTTGTCGGGTTTTTGCGCTACCTCATTTTTTTTCGTTTGTACGCCGCAGATTTCTAATAGGCAGTAGGACGACAGATTT